GCTATAACAACCCTTTATACACTGTATCTAGTGTCGCTATAACAACCCTTTATACACTGTATCTAGTGTCATAGTAACAACCCTTTATACACTGTATCTAGTGTCGCTATAACAACCCTTTATACACTGTATCTAGCGTCGCTATAACAACCCTTTATACACTGTATCTAGTGTCGCTATAACAACCATTTATACACTGTATCTAGTGTCATCGTAACAACCTGGAATGTTACACAGTTTATAAAACAATTTACAGAGAAATTATCGTTGAAGCATTTAATTATTTTTATCTTCGTCTTGAAGAATAACATACATGAACTAATACAGACATGGGGCTCTTCGTGTGATCGTTAGTGGTTTCCCTGAATGCAAAACTGGGCAGAGCATTGTATTTTAACAAACTTTTATATAAAAATCGAAGATTTAGGAAAAAAAGTGCATAAATTATTTTAAATCTTTAAACGGTGCTGCTCTATACACCCAATTCTTACTAGTGGGGAATATTGATAAAAGGCGAAAGTGTCGAACAAAATGCATTGGATTAACATTTCCGTGTCGGTTTGTTATAATTTTGACCAATCTGATTTAAAATGAATCAACTCTATTTCTAAAATGAATATTTACACCTTATTGATCTAAACCGATTATATAGTGTTGCTTAGCAACTACAACTATTCAATAATTAACAATCAATTAAGTCATTTTATCTGATGGAAATGTTGTTCGTTATGAATTTCATTGGTCCGCGATTTTTTAAAATCAATTTAAATCTGCAAAACAAAATAACGGTCATGGTAAAAATATCACAACAAGTGTGTCACACAACGTGTTGCTATGTGGATATATTAAATAACAACCTCCTGTTCTCCTGCTCTGTGAATACTTTCACAAATTCTTTACATGAATAATTATCATCAAAACAAATTCATATTGAAGTAAATTTAAGCTCAAAATAGCAGGTTGGTGATAACCAGTAATAAAACCTAAAAATCAAGAACTTACTTTATCAAAGGTTCAAGGGTTGAAACAGTTTAAACAAAGTAATCCGGGGAAGTTATTTACCAAACGTTTCCAAATCTTATAAGCATAAACGACTTAACGTTTATCTATATATTTTTTTCCCCAATATTAAAATTCAAATCAAACGTATGTTAAGTAATTCAAAATGGTCGTCTGAACACAGAAAATATTAAAAGTTATTAATTTTCAGATTTTGCAAAAACAATTGCATTTATGACTTGATTATCCAATCAGGATTGAAACAACTGGCCCCTTGGTGTCTTATAAATAGCACATTGTACAACTGCTTGAACAAGAACCTATATAAATACCTTGTTAAGTTATCAATAAATCAATAGCCTTTAACCTTTAATTAACACGTTTTAAAGTCCGACCTCTAGCAAATATTTCTGTCCATCTTTCCGTCCTACCATTCTTCACCTGACGTAAGATCAACCCAGCCATGGAACTATAAGATTGACACCGGGTCTCCTGATATCGTGGGTTTTGCATAACATTCAATATAATAAGTGTTTTTCTCCCTCTGGTATTTTCCATTGGAAAAGAAAATGATTTATGAAGATTAAAGAACGTAGAAAAGGTCATTGGAAATATTACTTTGATAAAAAAAGTGTAAGGTATGAAGGCAAAAGGACCGACTTTTATTGCACAGCGAGTTTATTTTGTAGAACACAAACCTAATAGCTTGTATTTACTGAAACCAGCACTAATAAAGTGTCAACAACACATTAAAATTTCATATTAAGTTAATAATTTAGTGATGAATATAAATACGTTTGATCTTCTTGTGCAAAATGTAGTATTATTTTTGCATTATGAGAGTACTGTTGATATATACATAGAGTTTTGCTACCCAAACTTCTACTGTCACTTGCCATATTTAATGAGACAAACACATTGTGTTTTCTGTCAATATTGCATCAAACTTAAGTTGCATCAATTCGTTGTACTGTTCAATTTCACTAACAGGTAAAACAGATATGGAAGCCTAACTTATATAACTTATATAACTGACAGTCAAGCTTCCCCTTTAGTTTGGTTCAATAGACCCTTCCAACATTCCATTGCACTATGCTTGGACTATTCTACTTCTGTAAAGGTTTTTCAGAAAACAGCCAATTATCAAAACGTGTGGAACAAAATATTAAAATGTTACCGTTCGAATGGAAATATTATTCAGTTTTTTTACAGATAACATTTTCCAATAGTGTTTTAATAGCCTAGCACAACTTGTAAAAGTAGTTGTAATTGAAGGATTCCAGTCTCACTGCAGGCTAGAGAACTCCACTGTATATAGAGTAACCTACCCTTAATTATTTTTTGTTCATACAGTGTAGAGCGATTTGGCCTGGGCACTTTCATTGAGTTGGCGTCTCAGTTTGTTAGAGAGACAGTATAACAGTCCGAGGTCTAGGGTTCGAATCCTGCTTTGACCCTGTTGCTTTCTTACACTCATAACATTGTTGTTTATTCCTTAATTCTAATTTTACATAAATGTCCCACATTGTAGTTTTCTTTTAAAAAATATCCAATCTAAATAACGATAGAATATTACAAGGTTAGCAATGTATGGTTTCAGTTCTGTTGCTGTGGTACGGGGATCGTTAAATGCTTTGAGTGCTAATTATACAATAAATTACAACGTTCATGACTGTAAATTGATATTGATGACAGGTTTCGATCTGGTATATAAATTAAGGGAAAGAGGGTCTTACATATTGTCTTTTCCCTGGAAGGTAAAATAGTATGTGTCCTTCAGCGTAAACTACTCTAAAACATATTTTCAAGCAATGTTTTTTAAACGTCTGCTTTAAAGATGAAATACATTTCCACAACCTTTCACTTGCTGTATAGTATAACAGTGTTGTGATTTTGGTATGTTTATATGATAGCATACCTATTGTGTGCATTTTAGTGCATGGTAACGCCAAACAAAGTCATAGGTTAAAGGTTAACTTATACAACCAATCAATGGTGTCGGTGTATTTATAGAGTAACAAAGTTGGTTTCCCAATTTATTTGCACAACGCTGTGTTTTTATACATTCTGAACACATTACGTTAAAAAGGCCTTTATTCATATTCGTTAAAATGTGGATATGCCCTGCACCGCAGATATGTCAAGATTTGATTGGACGGAAAAGAGCCAATGGGAAACACTAACATAGATATGAAATTTTACAAAATCACATTTTTTTTACATTTTATGTATAAAGACAAAAAATGTCAACCATCTTGAAACTACAATTTCCCTACTGTAAAATGGAACGATCCAGTTATCGCTAGTCTACATTTACAGACTGGATTGTTCCACCTACCTAAAACAGGAATGCAAGTTAAACAAGATGGAAAACTACATTCATTATGAAAACACATCAACATGAGAAAAATTGCATTTCATTATTTTCTTATTTTACAAAATACACCATTTGATACCTATTAAATATCAACACATGTACAATATACAATATTATAAACATCACACTGTCGAAAAAAGGTCCGTAGCTCTATCGTAGTATCGTACAATTACATGCATAAATTTTGTATATAAATACCACTAGGCTTACTACTGCATAATACACCGACGACTCGTTAGAATGATATTTACTACATTTCTAGGAATAACAACTATAGTCCCTAACTAACAAATACGTTGTCAGGCATGTTACTATGGTAACAGCCAATGACTGCAATATTTATAAAAAAAAGGAACAAATAATAAAAAAAAACATGAAAGAGACAAAACAACAAATTCCAGGCTGGCAACAAGACTTTGGTATCCATGGCAACACCATGGCATCCATGAGCAGACAACAAGTGAAGAAACAAATCGTATATAGTTTATGGTAACCATGGAGACATCCGTAGAAATATTTTTTTCTCAGAAGGCAGAATTTGGAGAAATGGGAGAACCTAAAATCTCGTTCTGTCCCTGAAAATTAAACAAATATAATGTTAAAACATACATATATTAAAAATATGAATTCAACAAACAAAAATGACCAACGTTGAATAGAACAATATTTAAAAGTCCTACCAATGTGATGTTGGATAAATGCTTACAAATCCGGTGTCAAATAGTACAGTTGTATAGGCGTATAAATACTAAAGTTTTCAGCATTCGTATCAATACAGTTTGTCAGTGGCAACATAAAAAACTTGGTGTCAGGATCAGAACACTTTTATAAATTGTTTATCACTTTGTCCAACACTTGAGAAACACGTTTCAAATTAGATACTTTATCTTTCATTCTAATACAATTTCAAAAGCGATGTCAATGGACCGTTTTTCGTTCGTTAATTGAAATCTACGCAAAATATTTGGTAAGAAAAATAATTGTTCAAATAATTTTTTTCCGCAAAAAATATCTTATTTGCAGTACATATATGAATGCACTTATGTTCAAACCACCATAGCGTATTTATTAACACCAACCAACAAGGCACTATAGAACGATACATGTACATAAATTAACTACTTCAAAAAGGCGGCATGGATTTTGGTTGCAACTGTTTTTTGTGGAAAATGCAAACCTAATGGCTGTGCTAACCCATCCACCAATCAAAATACTTCATGCAGTGATCAGGTGATATTTAAATCTGTGAGGTCCATTTGGGGAATGAAGGATTACACAACTAAAATAACTACGGCATTCTACTGGTAAACGTAGGAGTAGAAAATACAAAGTCTTATTTGTTAAACCAAAAACGTGTGCAATAAAGATAGTACATTAAAATAATTAAACCGTAAAGTTTCATTTTGTTATAATTTTTTTCTGAAATGCTTTAATTGAAATTTTTCTTAATTTTTATTGTCATCGAAACTTTGACAACAAACAAAGAACTAAAATTGACATCAGCAGATAGAGCGATATATTTCATTTTATTTAACAAGATATACTTTCGGCAATCATTGAATTTAATATGGTATAATAATGGAAAAACAAATAAATACCCCAAAAGTGGAGATGAAAATTAAATGGGATGTAAACATACAGATAAGAACAGATGCACAGATTTTAAAGATAATGAAGCTCAAAGTCTTGGTAGAAATAACAAGGGGGTTAAATACAACCTGATATACCTGTGACCAAAGAAGGATCATCCCATTGATGAGGAACAGTCCAATATAAGCCACAGGAATGTCAGGTTTTTTATGCTCAGAAAAAAATGCAGCAAAAAAAGAGAGGACCACAGATGATAAGAGAATCATGACAGTGGTGATATAAAGTTTTAATCATTAACCTACTCCTTAATTAATTCACAGATAAAAAAATATAAACCCCTAATGGTACCTCAGCGAAAAAAAATATAAACCCCTAATGGTACCTCAGCGAAATAAAATCTACATTATGCACCAGCCAAAGGTTTTTATTTCTTAAAAATATTCAAATTATTAGTTATTCTTACTTGAATTTTGATTGGATGTTGCCATAGCAACATTTAAAGTCCACTCACCACGACCTCCCCCATCCTATTTTTTGCATATTCTATACGAATTCCTCCACGGTCTGACGATAACAGTACAAAACCTTGTAGTCTGCTCTTGGCCTCCAAAGCTTGTCTAACATCCTGATAATGGAGAAAAGCCAAAGGTCAGGGGTCATAGACCAAAGGTCAGGGGTAATAGACCAACGGTCTCTTAGGAAGTTACATCAAAGGACTGTTGAAGAGGTTTAAGGGCGAAAGGTCAATGGGCAAACGCTCATATATTGTAGAAAAGCTTAGGGCAAGGGTCATATGAATATCATTTATGTTACCAAGATATACATAAGTTCTGGCGTAATTGACCCTCAGTAAAACTATCTCAATACTATAGAAAGACCAAAAGTCACAGGTCACTAATCCCAGTTTAACCCGTCATATCCAGATCTTAGAACATATGATCATAATTTCTACAATGTTTAAGATGATGGAAATGTTCTTAACCCTTTCACTACTATGGACTATGATGGATTCATCCAGATCAATGCATGGCAGAGTTTACTAAAGTTATATAGGGGTGAAAGGGTTAATGGTCAAGTGGTCCAGTTTGACAATACAGTATCCATTTTGTAATCCTTAATAGTAAATTACCTTCCTTTTCCCCAAAGAATGTCCCACAAATCTTTCTAAAATAATATCAAGCCTAAATGTTCTCTACTCCAAATAAAATTTTCAGAAATGAACTGTGCAAGTTGAGTCAGGAAATTATTAACGTAGTACAGTGATCATGTTGTCAAGCAAGGCAAGTGTGCATATCAACCCAAATCTAAATAATGGAATGTATTATGTCTATGTGTTGGACCATTCCATGAGCAGCTGAAGGGGTGATAAGAGTTGATACAGTGCTGGGTAGTAAAACAAGAAGTGAAGTTACATATATATAAATCAGCTACATCATTAATCAAAGGGAGAACACTCTATCATGATGCTGTGCAGAGGTATAACAATGCAACACTGTAATCCAGATACAATAAAAATATGTACAATTATTGTCATCAAGTCAGATATAATTACCACTGTTTTACAGTAACGTTGTGTTGTGTTGTGTTGTGTTGTGTTGTGGGTAGGGAAATGTCATCAAGTCGGATATAATTACAACTGATTTACAGTAACGTTGTGTTGTGTTGTGGGAAGGGAAATGCCATCAAGTCGGATATAATTACCACTGTTTTACAGTAACGTTGCGTTGTGTTGTGGGTAGGGAAATGTCATCAAGTCAGATATAATTGCCACTGTTTTACAGTAACGTTGTGTTGTGTTGGGGGAAGGGAAATGTCATCAAGTCGGATATAATTACCACTGTTTTACAGTAACGTTGCGTTGTGTTGTGGGTAGGGAAATGTCATCAAGTCAGATATAATTACCACTGTTTTACAGTAACGTCAATATGTGACAAACGAGAGCTATCACTGAATATAAAAAAACAAAATACAAAAAAAAACAAAAAAAAACCACTGTCTTTTAACTATCATTTGTTTTTAGTCAATCATTCATTCATTTAACATTAATTTCAAATCCACTTTAATTTGTTGACCATATTATTCCCAGTTTAAAAAACCTGTCCTTGTTTATTTCAGATTATGAGAACACTTTACTTGGATCAAAATTCATTTAACTCATTCACCTCTGAAGACACATTTGAACTCCTTTGGAATAATAGTTCATCATGGATATTCAGGGGTGAATGAGTGAAGTGGAATGGGGGTAGCTGACAACTAAAAAGGAGGATCAGGAGGAAAGAATTAGGTCAACGGAGGAGGTATCATACCTGGCTTTGTATTCTCGAAACACTAGTAAATTAAGGAATACAAAATACTATCTAGAAAGAAAAAACACTACTTTTTTAGGAATACGAAATACTCTTCAGGACGACAAAACACGTAATACTATTTAGGAATACAAAATACTATTTAGAAAGAAAAAACACTGACTACTTTTTTAGGAATACAAAATATTCTTCAGGAAGACAGAACACTTAATACTCTTTAGGACGACAAAATACTCTTATCCCGAATCATTGGAACTAACAGAACATGGACGTTGGATCTCATATGCTTTGTACTTGTACCAATGACAGATTGGCTGTTACTAACCTCCTATTTCAGACAGAACATACACTATTATCAGTAGTAAAAGGCAAAAGTTGATTAAAAGATCCGGTCTCAAAAAAAGTTTTCTACCAAGATGAAAGACGGAAACTTTCGTTCAATTCTCATGGAACGTGCCAGAAAGCAATTATCTGCAGACATAGCATGATCCGGTACGCACTAGTCAAATCAGCTTCAAATAACTACACACATTAATACTAGGCAATCAGGAGGCTAGCTCTAAACAAACGGAAATATTGATGATGTCTGACCTCTGACCTGTCGATTAGGCCCACCACAGATCGGCCCAATACCAATTAACGATGAATTATTAACACCGTAGAAAACAAATGATGTCGTAACTTTTCCAGCATTCTCCGGGAGGTCGAGAATGGACAGGATCTTCCATACATTAGCCTGTCGTGTTTGGTCGATTTGCTACACAAATGCCGTTTGAATTTGGTTCCTACCTAATTTCACCTGATCTTGAAACCAGCCTACTCGGGGTAGTACATGCATATCTAAGTTATCGTTTTATAGGACTAAACTGAAGGCTGAAACCATGTTATACAACATTATGACGTGTGCTACATCATATTATTTCCGAGAAATCGAAATCAAATTATTTTGTTGGATAAAACTTCTATGAATTATATATATTTTAATCTCGTCTCCCTATTCTCATGGCACCCTATTTTCTGTCTTTATTTTACCAATCATGGGAATAATCTAAACAATATATCTGTAAACAGTTGGTCTTTATAAGGATAGTGTCTTAAACCGAAAGGACATCGAAAAAAACAGATGCCTAACAATTTTAACCAATTATTTAAATGTTTCATTTGTTTCAACAACTATTTATGTAAAGATGACATGCTTGCAAATATGTCCTGCCTACATATAGCAACGGTGTTCTTTTGTTGGCTTAACTCATACACCCCTGAAGACAGATTTGAACTCTTCCAATTCAAAAGTTGGAAAAGTTCATTATGAAATTTCAGGGGTGAATGAGTTAATTATACGTTTTTCTATGTTTTGAGGTGATGTAATGCCTTTTTGTTTATGTGGGGCAAAAACTATATAGTATATTTTATCCCGATTTTGTCCCTTTTTAATTTCTGTTGTGCTTTTTTCAGAACATTTAGTTTTCATTTTTCGATTTGAATGTTGACGTTATGATATGTTTCTTTTGGATCAGATACTTTGACCTGGAGAGACTTTAACTGAAAAGTGAAGGTGTTTGTTTTGTTTTCCATAAAGAAATACACATTATATCTGATAAATGTTTAGACAACAGTTTACAGAACGAGACTGTTAGAAGGTCAATTTTAACCCTTTCACCACTGTAGACCATAATGGACTCATCCAGATCAATGCATGGTTGAGTCTATTAAAGTTACATAGGGGTGAAAGAGTTATATGGTTACCCAACAGGAATAATACACGATTCCAACAGGTCAACTATAATGAAGTTAAAATCCAGAATAGCCAGTGATGCTACAGTCCAACTGGCTACCAAATGTGTCACCTACTGACACATAATTGATATTGGTCATTCAAAGGTCATTCAAAGGTCAAGGGTCAGGTAAGGAATTGTTATTGGTTATCAGAAAAGTCGATGGCGGATGTTTTATCGTGATTGGGTGTCGAAAGTCATATAAAAAAGTACAGCAGTGTGATTGGTCGTCAGAAAGGTCAATGGTTGGTACTGAATTATGATTGGTTGTCAACAAAGGTCAACACTGTTACTTTGCTGTGATTAGCCGGAGAAAATGGCTAATTGTATAACTATTTTGTATTTTGTATCATGAAAGTCAGTCAACTGTATGTAGCTATACTTGATATCCAAGAGGAAATACTTCTATATTTAACTTTGATTGGTCACTTAATTGATGACTTACCTGGAATTCCACAAACGCCACTGGCGATCCACCCTTGTTATGCATTCTTAGCCGGCTGAAACCCTGGAAACTGGAACAAAACACTATCGTTTAACCTAACGATAAAGGATATCGGTAAGATCTGCAGGTCAAGTTGCAACCTCAAATACATTTTTCTTAAGGATATAGGTTATCTAACTCAAACATGCACCTCCTTCTCCTAACGATTTCCACTCTCATATCTTTTATGGATGGTTATTTGATCTTGGTTAATAATAAATGAAACATTAAAAGGGTACACATTAGTGCCACACAAATTCTGAATTATTAGAATATGATAATCATCTAAGGGAGATCACTTCAAAACAATTAACATGAATGATGAGTAAGTTAGCATATATCCTTAAGGGAGAGAACTCTAACACGAACCTTTGTATGTTTAAGGTAGCATAATTATCCTTAAGGGAGAGAACTCTTACACAAACATTTGTATGTTTAAGGTAGCATATATCCTTAAAGGATATCTTTAATACATTCAAGGTATAATGTTTAAAGTAGATTTTATCCTTAAGGAGGATAGCTCTAACATAAACCATTCATATGTTTAAAGTAGCATATATCCTTTAGGGAGACAACTCTACCACAACTCGCAGGTATCAAATGTGAAAGGCCATATTTAACCTTAAGAGAAAACCACCACTAATATGTAACTAAGATATCAAAGTTTATTTATATTAAGTCAAGGGTCATCAATCACTGGTTCAAAATATTAGAAAAAATAGTTGGCTCGAACTGTTACAGGTAAGTGTAGAGTATGTTGAATAAATACCAATATCTGTGTAATTGGTTCAAATCATCAGGAGAGAAAACGACAAAGGAATTTAAAAATACCCAAGATTTAGGCTTTACAATTCTCATATACATTGTAGGAATAGTGATTTATATATTCGATCAGAATATACAACAAATATCATATCAGTAACTGCAACTAATTTGAAAGGAATATAGATGTCATTATCGTCATTGTATGATGTGGACTGTAACGACAGACTGTATTAACCATTATAAAATTAATGATACAATTTCCTATACAGTAAGTATATAATTAAATCTCAGAACATTTTCAGGAGAAATTTCAGGATGTCTTACTTTTCAAAAATTCAAATTTACAATAAAAATAAAAAATCACTATACATGTATTTGTAATAATCTTCTTTTGGAGCACAATCGAAAAGTATTGATAACCTCAAAAAACACATTGGTGGACAAATAGAACGATTTTCACAAACATTTCCAGAGTTAGCTTTGAGATAGAGAATGTTAGGTCATAGAGGTTGTTTGTTAGTAGCCCGATATCATAGACTCAGGTCATTTCTTAAACTCAGTACAATTCACATAACACTAAATCAGTCTGAATACACAGGTAAATTTACGACAAAATGGAAGTGAAAACCAAAAAAAAAATATAAACGCAAAACAGAAATACGCAATAGTTGAGGAAGTGAAAGTGAAAGTAGACTGTGAAAATAAGTAAAGAAGAGTTAGTAAAAACTTACACTACAGGCTGCAGCATAGATCAATACTATAGAAAGTAGTCCCACAAGTGCGTATTAATGTGATAGAAATCGGCTAGTTCCAAAGACATTCGACTGTGAGATTTGGTGTAACACATAAGACAAAGGATTATAGATGATATACACACGGACGCATACAATTATTATGATATAAATATAAACCAAACAATTTGGCAAAAAGCATAGTCCGAGATTAAAATGAAAACAGGAAGAAAAAAGGAAAGGTTTCTGATAAAACTGTCTGTAATAATAAAAACAGGCTAAATTGTATGTAACCAGTGATCAACAAAAAAGAAACAAAGATATATATTTGTTAAAATCAAATTGTAACAGGCCAATCAGAAAAGAGGATACATACTTCTTTACAGGCTAAACAGAAAAAACCAACAGCCAATCAGAACCGAGCTTACAATTTTTGTGTGCATTTGATTTTGATGTGATGATAGATACATTTAATATCTAAATATTGAAACATTTATCAAAAATAAATAGTTTGTACTGCTATGCTATACACTCCCCCCTCCCCCCACCCCTATATACTCCCTATGAGGTTTAAATTATATATTACATGATTACATATTTAACAAAGTCTCAAAACCATAATAAAAATCCTACCAGAAAATTCAGTAGCCAACTCCATTATTTTGCCTCAGTCTTGTTTGTATTAATATATATCTATATTCAGTCCACATGAAGAAGCCTAAGAAAGCAGGACGGCTTATAGTGGTCAACCATGGACAATTATTATTCTATTCTATATATATTTAGTTTTTTACAAACCTTTAGGAACAATGCAAATTCACAGACAGCTCCAAATCTGTCTCCTTTATACTCTTTAATTGTTTTCTTTAATTATATTTTGATCAAATTTCTTCACGATGATAAATAAACGTTTTCAAAAAAATAAATCATAAATATTCCATGAAATTAATAAAGCACATTAATTCCTCTATCCTAAGCACTATGTTTCATCACCATTAGACCTGGTATCCGTTTATATATTTAATATGATAGACCATTTTTGCAAAACCATAAAAAAATAAGGGACACAAAAGGGAAAAAAAACAGAAATGGGGGTATTATGCTTTTAGACAAACTTGATATGCCTTACGATTGGAAATTACATTATTAGACAATGAAATGAATCCCACCATATCACTATCAAGATTTTGAACCTTAATTTTCCTCATACAAAGATACAATTTATTTCATATATTGATTCAACCAGTATAAAGTATTATTAAATTCTCCAAAAAGCCTTAGAGCTGCTACATTGTAGGAGCCTGATGTTTGAAAATCACTCGCTAAAGGAAAATAAATTGTCCAATCAACTTGTCATAATCAGTCCTCAGATATACTTATTGTAATGAAAATTATAAGAATTTTATATTTTTAATCTGAATGTAAAATCTCAATTCATTATAAATTTATGAAAGTTTAATTAATAATGTTGTTAATCATATTATCAAAGCCATTTTTATTTCCGTTTTTTTTTTTATCCCTGATAAAAACGTGCAATGATGTACCCAAAACATATGTTCCTTGGAGCAACTGTTTCATCGGTACATCATTATCAGATTATAGAATATCAATATAAGCTCCCCAGTGACTCAGATCAAATTATATTGATTGCAATTCAGTGCAAAGAGTCCATAAAATTACGCCTACTAAAATAATCTTTCGATCCAGTATGGCCATGAGTGATTTCTAATGGTTATGACATAGTGATTAGCTGGGTGGTTTTTTTTTCTTCTTCAAAATTTCATTAATTTTACTTGGGAATGAATATTTCATTTAAACCTTTTTATTATAATTTACGAGATTTTGCTGAAGAAGATGAAAATGTTTTGAGTATCTGTGATGCGCTGCCAAACCACTGCTGTTAACTGAGGTCCATTACAGCTTCATTATCATTAAAACAGAAACTTGTAATTTCACATTTTTTTAATTAAATATATATTGATTTTCAAGTTTTATAAAAATATTATAGTATTGAGATGGAATATAAAATAATCCTATACCACAGTGTCAACAAACAGGAACTTTCTACACAAACAGTATAATATATTACCAAAAGTTAAAAAATAATGTGCAAAATTTGGAAAAAAGATTTAATTGATGATATTTATGTTTAACCTTTTCACTCCTATGTAACTTTAGTGAACTCTTCCACGCTTTGATCTGGACGAGTCCGTTGTAGTCTACAGTGGTGAAAGGGTTAAGAAGTGAAAGTTTCAAGAAAAATGAAAGCCCAAACACCTGCATATCTAAATGAAAAAGGTCACAATGCTGAAATATATTGGCAAATGTCTATAAAGAGGTGTGATCAAAATACCCAAACTACGCCTCACGTTTAGAAAATCTTGTATTTTGTGCATACATAATCTTGCATGTGGCATCAAACGTACTTAGAAGTCATTCAGACAAGCTCGGTGCGCGTTCTGAGCGTCGTGTTTTACACTAGGTTGCTATGGTGATGTACAGTCCGTGTGGAATGGTCTATACAGGTGCGCTGTTACAAGTTACCTTAGTCAAGTACTCGATGTGAATCATTTAGGACAACTTCTTTTTCTTCAAATCACCGGTCACTATTCAAATTAGAATTTAATTAAGTTGCGAAAACTTTGTAAGCAATAAAATAACTTTATTTTTTTAATTTCAAATATTATCATAACTAAATGTGTGTTTATGCAACAATTTTAATGGTGTATCTTTCAAATATTGTAATATAAATAAATGTAATACATACAAACTTATTATCTTTTGATGATATAATACACATCTTTTGATGATGTAATATACGTCTTTTGATGATGTAATACACTTTTTCTAATCATGTGATCAACATTTCTGATGATGAAATACACATGGTCCTATGATGCAATGCACATGCATGTTCTGATGATGTGAAAACAACCCTTTTTCTTGTTATTCACTCTTTGTTTCAAATAATGCTAATTTATGAATGCAAAATAATGAATCTGATTTGGCTACTAAATATCTGTTTCCCTTTGATCCCCATTTGATGCTGTTGTGCAAAAAAAAAGAAAGAAAAAATTCTTGATCCTCCATTACGATTGGCCGGCTCGTATTGCAATCCGTTCTGGAGCAAAATAATTCTGGTTTGAGAACTAAAAATTCTTGCCTGTAAGTTTCATTTGTTAGTAGTAAATGGCTCACCCTTCCAAACATTTAAATACAAAATGGTGAATTAAACGTGTGTATTTTAGGACACATATATACCACTTTTAGAATATACCCCTACAAGCTTGCGATAGAGCATGCATGTGAAAAGTGATCGTCCTCCTTGGTATCGAAGATGATCTCAAAAACATCCACTCTTCCTCCAGTCCAAAGCAAGTGCATGTAAATGATATTTGTATTTTAATTTTGGTAAAACCGATTGACTCTTTTTTTTAACAATTGCTCCAAAACAGATCACATTCTTTGGTCATGATGATACTTCCATAGCCAAACGATTGAACCAATCAATTTTCTATGTGAAGTGAGTTTCACTTTTACCTGTGGTTGACATTGAAAACCACGCCAAGTAATAGCATGAACTTCGTAACTGACAAACACAATACCATCATGATGACATACTCGTGAAGATTTCCGACACTAAAACTTTTGACGTAAGTGCATGGGCAACTCACAGTCCAAACCAAGGGCACTCTACGCTCACGTCACGCCAACAAAATATTCCTCATCTCCATTTATCATTACATGATAACTCGTTCACACCACATTAAAAGTCCCCTCCCTGCAGGAAACTTCAAACTTATTGCAATCATAATACCAAATTAGAGAAGGGTAGCGATGAAAAGCAATAAGGCCTACTGTACTATATTGTCAACCTCGTAGGCGTAAACCTTCAAACACTGAGCAAACATCACTATAAAACCAATAATTATACGAGACACTAATTTAGCTAATTCACCCTTACATATTTAAACTGGACTTGCCCAGTCATTGATTTGGTAAGGTTCAAATGTGACTTTAGGGGTGAAGAGTTAATTAAGACGCCCACTTGTGTGACAGCTGATGGCCATGAAAAATCTCTTTGCGTGTCCAAGAAGAAGTATTTTTTGTTTGTTTGCTTCATAACCAACATGCTTCAACATACTTTTGATACAACTGTGACCCTCAGCTTTCATTGCAAATGACAATAACGACCATAGGTCAAACATACTACCTCCATCCTTACGTCATCCTATCAAACAACTAGTAGAACCGTTCTACTGACTGCCTGTTAGTCTAGTACACCTATCAAACAACTAGTAGGACCGTTCTACTGACTGCCTGTTAGTCTAGTACACCTATCAAACAACTAGTAGGACCGTTCTACTGACTGCCTGTTAGTCTAGTACACCTATCAAACAACTAGTAGGACCGTTCTACTGACTGCCTGTTAGTCTAGTACACCTATCAAACAACTAGTAGGACCGTTCTACTGACTGCCTGTTAGTCTAGTACACCTATCAAACAACTAGTAGGACCGTTCTACTGACTGCCTGTTAGTCTAGTACACCTATCAAACAACTAGTAGGACCGTTCTACTGACTGCCTGTTAGTCTAGTACACCTATCAAACAACTAGTAGGACCGTTCTACTGACTGCCTGTTAGTCTAGTACACCTATCAAACAACTAGTAGGACCGTTCTACTGACTGCCTGTTAGTCTAGTACACCTATCAAACAACTAGTAGGACCGTTCTACTGACTGCCTGTTAGTCTAGTACACCTATCAAACAACTAGTAGGACCGTTCTACTGACTGCCTGTTAGTCTAGTACACCTATCAAACAACTAGTAGGACCGTTCTACTGACTGCCTGTTAGTCTAGTACACCTATCAAACAACTAGTAGGACCGTTCTACTGACTGCCTGTTAGTCTAGTACACCTATCAAACAACTAGTAGGACCGTTCTACTGACTGCCTGTTAGTCTAGTACACCTATCAAACAACTAGTAGGACCGTTCTACTGACTGCCTGTTAGTCTAGTACACCTATCAAACAACTAGTAGGACCGTTCTACTGACTGCCTGTTAGTCTAGTACACCTATCAAACAACTAGTAGGACCGTTCTACTGACTGCCTGTTAGTCTAGTACACCTATCAAACAACTAGTAGGACCGTTCTACTGACTGCCTGTTAGTCTAGTACACCTATCAAACAACTAGTAGGACCGTTCTACTGACTGCCTGTTAGTCTAGTACACCTATCAAACAACTAGTAGGACCGTTCTACTGACTGCCTGTTAGTCTAGTACACCTATCAAACAACTAGTAGGACCGTTCTACTGACTGCCTGTTAGTCTAGTACACCTATCAAACAACTAGTAGGACCGTTCTACTGACTGCCTGTTAGTCTAGTACACCTATCAAACAACTAGTAGGACCGTTCTACTGACTGCCTGTTAGTCTAGTACACCTATCAAACAACTAGTAGGACCGTTCTACTGACTGCCTGTTAGTCTAGTACACCTATCAAACAACTAGTAGGACCGTTCTACTGACTGCCTGTTAGTCTAGTACACCTATCAAACAACTAGTAGGACCGTTCTACTGACTGCCTGTTAGTCTAGTACACCTATCAAACAACTAGTAGGACCGTTCTACTGACTGCCTGTTAGTCTAGTACACCTATCAAACAACTAGTAGGACCGTTCTACTGACTGCCTGTTAGTCTAGTACACCTATCAAACAACTAGTAGGACCGTTCTACTGACTGCCTGTTAGTCTAGTACACCTATCAAACAACTAGTAGGACCGTTCTACTGACTGCCTGTTAGTCTAGTACACCTATCAAACAACTAGTAGGACCGTTCTACTGACTGCCTGTTAGTCTAGTACACCTATCAAACAACTAGTAGGACCGTTCTACTGACTGCCTGTTAGTCTAGTACACCTATCAAACAACTAGTAGGACTGTTCTACTGACTGCCTGTTAGTCTAGTACACCTATCAAACAACTAGTAGGACTGTTCTACTGACTACCTGTTAGTCTAGTACACTGTTGATTTTTTATCAAATGACCAATATGACCTTTTACAACAATGACCACTAGTTATGACCACTAACCACAGTGAACTTTGACCTTTTATGTCCCTGACAACTTCTGCTCCTGAATGTCAACCACAGGTCGAAGTTGTAACCATGACCACTAGAAGGTGTTATGTCAACCAAGGGGAGGTAACTAACCTGCTAAACAGATCCTTTAGTTCCTGTTCAGAGGAGAATTGGCCTAGATTGGCCACGAACAGCGTGGAGCATGGTGTGTTGTTCGGTGTCAGCGCCAACCCCGGGCTCGACGTTGCCACTGCTGCGGCAGGTGTGGTGCTCATCGTGCTAATAGGGCTAGTTAAGATAGGCGTGGCGGCAATAGGGGGGTGTGGCAAGGCGGCCGACACAGCAGAGGGGGCCATCATGGCAGGGTGGTGAATCTGAGAATAACCAATCGTATCATTGGTTGGATGTCCATTGACCAATCAATTCCTTTTTTTTATTATCAATTAACGGTTTTTGTTGGATATGTCATCTGTACCTCTTTGTTTAAGAGGAAAGATGTAGAATAATTTTTGGCGCCTATTTGTATAACTTTTTGTTGGTTGAATTTGTTGTTTTGAAAAAAATTGGTCAAAATATGATTGTCCCTCAGCAAAAAGTTCCACAAAATTTCGATTCAGAAAAATAAAGACAATTTATCTTTATTTTTCAACAAGTGTCCTTGAAATTTGAGGATTTTTGTCAATTTATAGAACTTCCTGATATTTAAAATTTTGATAAATTGATCAATTTGGATGCATAGGAATACAAGTTGATGTTATCAAAATACAAGGATAGTTTCTGTTCAATTCAAGAACAAATCTCAACGCTATAAAAGGGAGAATCTGTTCATCTAAAAATTTAAAAAAGGAATTTTCGTTTCCATGTATGAAGATGCAAACGTTTTTCTGTGTCTTGTTGTTCAAGATGGAATTAGCACTAATAGTCAGAAAATGTTTGGCCAATTTAACAGAAGAGTTCTGTTTCAAGGTAGGTTATCCCTCTCTGCCTGTCAACTGTTTTGTCATTCCTTTGTTTCCGTGACTTGTTTGCTGTATTTAAGTTTTCACAGAAATCATTTTATTTTCATCTTAATATTTTTATCATTAACCTAAATAACAATCAAATGTGGAAATTTAAAACTATAGTTGACACTCAACAAAAAGACAGCAAATTTTGTCACGGAGGTCAAATTCTAAGGCTGTGAGGTCATCGCCATGGAAACCATCTACTGTAAATACATACAGTGCCATTTACAAAGTGCTTTGAAGTTATGTAGCGCATGACTGTGAATAGTAAAATGTATAAATATATAAGAACTAATTTGACGTGAGGAATAATAAACCAACAGACCAGCCTTAATTGAAAAATTTCATCAAATAAAATGTAATTGAGAATGAAACATTTAATGCACCAGCTAGATATTTATTGTGATTAAATCCTACTTTATCAATTTTTCAAAACATTTCAAATATCAGTTGAAGTTTTTATGTGAATTGCTATTCTTACTAATTTTAAGAGAAGCCTTTGTTTATACATTTTACTTGTAAAAATTGCAAGGAAAAGATTCTGTATCCCAATTGAAAGGATCCAATGACCTTGAATAAACCTGAAGGTTGATGAAATTTTTGAATCAGTCTGGTCTAGTCATTAAGGCCATATTGCTATGTCACTAGTTCATCATGCAGAGTCATCAGAGAGAAATCACACTTAACTGTTGCCATAGCTACAGAGAAAACCATAGTTACAGACACTGTCCTCATCATTTGATGCTTAGGTTTTTTTCTTCTTTTTTTCTTCTGCTATTTCTTATTTGTCTCATGACATTTACATTACCTGTCAGTTTTTATTTTACTAATGGAATCACCAGTATGACAGTTAAATTGTTACAGTGTCTTTCTTACAGCTTAACAATGAAAAATTTTGATAATCAAAAACACTTTTTTTTTTTTTAAATTCCATGTAATTCTATGTAGCTTAATGACATCACCACATGGCTATTGTACAATATTTGGGGTTAAAGGTCAGAGGTATAAAACGAACAACAAATAAAAGAAAATATTCAAAATCAAAATCATGAGAAAAAAGATAGACAGTAGAATGATAATAGCATGGGATCGAGAAATGAAATATGTAGAAACGACCTACATCGTCTGGAAGTACACGATGTACCTTAGCAGGCAAGTTAGTCCATCAAAACAATTCAGTAATAATTACATTTATAATATATCTTTCCTTTTTTCATATTCTAAAATAAATTGTCCAATCTCGATTCCATGATAGTGAAATTTATGCTTTCATTTTAATTCGTAATTCACATAAAATCTTACTTATGGAAACACTCGGAAATAATTCTATTCGAAATATCTCCAACTGATTGGTCCTACTAGACTCTGCACAACTTGAGAGTCAGCCTTTCAAGGACATGTCGTGATCATGGTTCAATCAAAATTATTATTTCATAATCAACCTGCATGGTACCTTGTGTTTTTCACAATCTCAAATTTTATCTCAATTTCTGGTCAATTTGATTCCAATACAAAATATCTCAATTTGAAATGAACTTTATTAAAATCATGCATTAAAAAAGATTCATTTCAAATAATATAAGGAATAACTTATTAAAATTTCTTTCCAATATGTCAAGAAAATTATTTCAGGAATGTATGTATTTAATTACTGGCATTCATTTTGAAACTTAAAGCAACCGAAGTACTTTTTTTCCAAAATGACTTTTGTTTTCATGCTGAATCTTAAACATGTAATTTTCACTAAGATTTCTTCTTGAAGTTGAAATTAAATTTTGAATTGATTTTGTTTACCTGAGTGAGTTGGTGGTACCAGTCCTGCAATTTGATTAGAAAATTGGGTCAACGTCTTGAGTATTTTCGTACCTAGTAAACATCGGAGCAGTAGCTGGTGCGGCAATACGCAGAGTAAACTCTCCAGATCGTTATTAAAACAGTTTAGGGACACATGATTCTGGAGAAGTTCTAGGTGCAGTGTATAGCAAGAATAAATGACAAATTCTTATTAATCTGTAACATTGTTTCCACATTCAGTTTGAAATTATTTTTTTCTGTGAATAATTTTTCTTCTTTATTTTTTAAAATTTCATTTTCATTCCCCCCCATTTTTCATGGTTTTTTTTATTCATTTAATTTTTCATTTTCTATTCTTTTTCTCAACATTTTTGCATGAATATTATGGTATAAATATATATCAGATTATAGAAATTAATTTCTGCACTATTTTTCCTTTTTTTTTTTAATCTGATGGAAATAAATATTTGCTACACATATATAGAGTTATTCAAATTTTAAATCTTTCTTTTTCTTTTTCTTTTTTTTTAATTCAATAAAAATGATACTTTCAAAATATTTTACATGTGAGTGATGATTTGAATCTTTCAATGCTGTTTTTTTATATATCAAAATACCTTTTATAGATCTTTCCTTGTATTTTTTGTGACCAAATTCAAATTAAGTCTCAGTTTATGTTTCTTCTTAAATATAAAATTTAAATAGAACTTAAATGACCGCTTAGGCTAAGATAAAGACCATATTCTCTTTACATATCAAATCCTTTAGTTAAATTGTCCTTACGGACGAAGAAATAATTTTAAAAAAAAATCAATCTCAACAACACATTCCTTAGCAATTTCATTATTTCAAGGAGATTATGTTTATTTAAAGGAAAAAGTATGACATGATGACGTCAAAGTATGACACAACAACAAAAATCGCTATAGCGATGTCTGGTAAGTATACATACAGTCTGAAAATTTGACAACCTAAACTTGTCCACACTGTTGGAATTACTTCTTTGCCGCATATGGTCTTTATGTATATAGGTCTGGTAAGTAATAGCGACAGTAGTATGATCCAATACGAGCACTGGATCCGCACAAACAAAGCTTGTTGGATGCATATTACTTAACTCATTCACCCCTGAAGACATATTTGAACTCTTCCAATTCAAAGGTTGGAATATTTCATTATGAAATTTCAGGGGTGAATGAGTTAAATAGATAAATCGGCAAAAAGATAATAACGACAAAGGAAATGCTGTTTATCTATATTTATACCAATAACACATCAATCCGCCTGAAGAAGACCTAGTAGGCAGAAAGGTGTAGATCGTACAAATTTATCATTTTATTCTATATTTTCCTTCTTGTTTATTCATTATCTACTATATAATATATATACATATTGATTGATGTGGAATTTGCGAACCAATAAGAATTTGCCATTTATTTCAGCTATAAGTAAAACTCTCATATTTCAAGCTGACTTCAAAATACCATTAGGTGCACAATAAATTTTGAAAATCTGGACATTCATGGTAATGTTGGGTCTATATGTAGTTCATGCAGTCCAAACGATTGAAAGCTATTTTGAGTGAAATTAGTCTCAAATCCCAGGGCCGGGTATAACAAGAGAAATGGGGACAAACTGCAGAAAAAAACGTATACATGATCATCTAGATAGATACTGTGTGCAGAAAAAACACCTAATTTTTACTTGAACTTTTTCTTACCTGGGGCAATTGCTGTAGCCAGGTGTCCTGAAAATAAAATAAATGAAAGGTCAAGGTCGTCAAGCTATTTGCATCCATATCATCACAGCTACCAAACCAAAGCACTGTTTCTTGTTTTTATTTTCCGTCAGTTCAATTCAAATGTCAAGAATGACAGTATAAAAAAGTCTTGCACTGTTTAGTTCCGGCTAACCAATACCCCTGCATCTCCTAAGGACAAACTTTCGGAAAATTCAAATTTAGATAATACCATTTAAAAAGAAAGAAAAAAATGTATATTAACAAGGTGTACAATGAAATTTGTGCAGAACTTTATGTCAATTAATAATTTTATACGGATACAAAATAAAGTGTACAATGTTTTCAATGAAATTTGTGCAGAATTTTAGGATTATGTATTATAGACCTAAGACATACAGGTGTTACAATAAAGAATAAATTACAAAACTAAACCACTTATTTAACTGCTGAAATCATGTACATTGTGCCAATAAATCTATCTATCTAGTTTAAAAGACAAACTTATATGATTTACAGACAGGAGCCCTGAACAGCCTAATTTCTATAGCTATCCCTAAGAGAGAACGCTTGGCACTTTTCAGGAAAACAATGAAGCTGAAAAGTGTGCATCAGAAAATAGGATTTATACAAATACCTTACAAAAATCACAATTTGTGAAACTTTTTGAAGATAATTTTATATCATGATTTAAATTGTTGGATTGATTTCTGATTTTCTAATGTGTTGTTAGCTTAACAGTGATTTGGTGAGATAAACTGTCAAATTCTACAAATGTGTGGAATTCATGATTTCCGTGCAAGAAATATCAGAGTAACCTTATCTACCAACACAAAAAGGCAAGGCAATGTACATCAACATAAAATAGTGACCGCCGCAAGGCATTTTTTGCACATGTGAGAAAAAAGAAAGTGATCTTGACAGTGAAACACAGAGGTCCCCGTTGTTGAAAGCAGGGTTACAATGTAGCTAATGGCACATTATAAGAAAATTCTGAACTTTCATAAAACATATGATTAAATAGCAATTTGTTTTTTTATTAGATTAAAAGTGTTCAGATGTACAACACAACAAAAAGAAAATATTTCCAAAAAAGAAAAAGGAAAAATCTGTTTGAAAATGTTAGTACCTAAATATAAATCGACCTACCTTTTTTTCTAATCAATGTGACATATGACACATAGAAAATGTTAACTGTGCCCCGTTCAGCAAACAACTGTTTGAACGTTGGAGCCTCGGTGACTAACATGACACGGGTGCAATAATTGGTAATAAAGATTGACAACTAACCCGTACCGGTACTTGTGCGAGGGCGGGATGGTGGATAAGTGCGGCTGTCTGGTGGATAGCAGCACTCTGCGTCATGTCAGGATAGGCCGCTAAAGGATGCGGCGCCCATGCCTCAGGTGCGCTGGGGAAAAACGTAGCTGTTCCTAACTCTTCTGTAAGTGGAGGGAGAAAGAGAGGCACACGTGATTTCAACGCTAGTCTGGAATATTTCCTGGTGAGAGAGTTTTGTACACAAACCGGGGCCACAAGGAAGGAAAGTTTACTACACACTGCAAAACAGGTCCGCAAACGACATCATTTTTGTTTAATTTAAAGAAAAAGAAGTAATAGATTTTTATATTTTTCCTACTTTATTTTGCCAAAAATAGGATATCCTTGTGTTATTTCCATCATCCTCTACATGTAATATTTGTTTTTATTTAATGGGAAAACATGTCATACATTTCTTTTTCTGGATCTATTTCCTTTTGTTTGATTTACAATTGAAATTATGGCTATGTAATTTTATGTTTGTTATCATTGAACACATTTTCCTATTAAATATGATACAGAGAGATATCACAAATGACTTGTTAGTGCATTGCGATTATTGATAACATTGTGACTAATTCTCTAAGGAATGAACAGGTTTTGCAGCATGAAAAAGTCCCTTTACCATCAGTGTGTCTGTGTGAATTCTATAATAAAACATTGTGACTATGGAAACAGAAAAACAATAGTTTTTCTATTCCCCAATTAACCTGTCCCTTCAAAATCCAATGGACTGACCCATCAAATAAGGAACAGATAGTCCACTGTAGAAGCTGAAGGGTGAACAGGTTAATATGTTTAGAGCTAGGTGATTGGTCAGTCTGCAAGCCAACTTGTGCTGGGGAGTGACAGTATATGGTAAGGTGGTCTGAAGTTCAAAGGTCAAAAGTCATGCATTTTGTTATTGCAGTCCAAACAAAGAATTTTCTCCTCATTTATATTTTCTGAGAAACAATTAAAAATATAAAAATATTTATCAATAATGTAACTTAAGTTCATTATTTTAATTGCTTAGACAGTTTTGTTTTTGTAATTGCTCCTAATTAGTTAATTTTTACATTCCAGTGACAAATGTTAGTCCTTGAGCCTGACCAATAGCAGTTATTTCAATTAATCAAGATTCTGTGAACATAAACATTTAAATCAGCTAAACCTGATCTATCGGAATCTTGAAATCCAACGCTCATGTGGAATAATCAAAGTCAATGTCGAGGCCAGAGGTTCAGAGTTGAAAGAAATCTGAGAAGAGGGTGAAAAGGTCTACAGGGCCTGTATCGGATATAACTCTCAGGAAGCAACGAACCATGCAGATGTATGAAAAGCATTACATTGCATCAAAATAAACCCCGTGACTTGGTACAGTCTAATGGTGCAGGTTTTTAGCGTAAGTTGTTGGTGCGAGTTGCTACAACATCGGTAGGGTTATTTATAGAAGAGAAATTTGTAACAAGCACCGGTTTCCAAAGTCAGGGGCCAAAAACCCTAGGCTGCTGATCACATGGGGTCAAAGTTCAAAGGTCGCTGATCTGTTTCACCAGGTTCTCTGATTGACTCTGAGTCTACATTGAAATGTTAAAAAAGAAAAACATTCTTATGATCATTCTGGTTTTGCTGTTAAAAGTAGCACTGAAGTAGCAAAAATATACAACAGATTAATGACAGAAACACAAATTTCATTTAATGTTTCGAAAAAATAATTATATGGTGCAAATCCTATTAGATTGGACTGTGATTTTTTTTTATAGATAATCATGTCTAGAATACAGCTTTCACCTGATAAGGAACTGATAATTGTTCAATTAACCAGTATTTATCATTCTATTATGAAGTTCACAGTGATGTATAAAAATATGTATTTGTATTCAAAAGTTTGCCTTGATATTCCTACTTATTTACCAAGCATTCTATAACAGTTGACAAGAAAAGGTTGACAAATCCTCTGTGCTCATCACCGTTCGTGTTTCAAACTTTTACCAAAATCGTAAGTGGTGCATCGTTATATTTTCTTTTCCAAAATCATTGATGGTGCTGAGCATTTTAAGAAATCGGTGATTCATTGATGTGAAAATTGATTTTTTTTTAAGTCAATGATAATTTTAGCAATTGTTTTCTCCAAAATATTTGATGAACCTTGATCTTTTTTTTCTGTTTTAGTTTTAGTTTTTGTTTTTTTATAAGAAAAGTCAATGATTGTGCTTAACTTTTGTTTTGATGTCACTGATGGTGTTTTCCTTTTTGTTTTGAAGTCACTGATGGTGCTTTCTTTTTTGTTTTGAAGTCACTACTGATGGTGCTTTACTTTGTTTTGAAGTCACTGATGGTATTTTCCTTTTTGTTTTGAAGTCACTGATGGTGCTTTCCTTTTTGTTTTGAAGTCACTGATGGTGCTTTCCTTTTGTTTTGAAGTCACTGATGGTGCTTTCCTTTTTGTTTTGAAGTCACTGATGGTGCTTTACTTTTTGTTTGAAGTCACTGATGGTGCTTTACTTTTTGTTTTGAAGTCACTGATGGTGCTTTACTTTTTGTATGGAAGTCACTGATGGTGCGTAACACAACACAAAACAACACAACACCTCAGTGGAATTTTGTGATGTAGTGAACCTATTAATGCCTTTTTTTGTTTCTTTTGTTCCAATATTCCTTTTATATCCCAAAAAAATACTTCCTGGCTTCATATGAAACCTTTGTTGACATTTGTTTTAACCTAAATCCTGAACATGAATATGTCAGCGCAAATTGAAATATAAGGAAGATAAATAATTCGTCTCGGAATAATCAGAGGGTGAAGTGATACACTAAAACAGTCTCAAGCAAAGCCGGAGAATCAGTAGGTCTGAACCACCTAGAAACTGATGTCCATATACCAGCCAATATTGTAGATTTTTGTGAGAGAGGCACTATGTATTCAAGAAATTAATTTAAAAAGTAGTGACAAGTCCAGTATTTGATAAGATGATTACATAAAATGTATAGAATTAAGCTGTTATAGGTCATCTATCAATTAAATGGTTGGGAATTTGTTGATTTTAAAAATAAAAAACATGAGTGGGAAATATTAGGATTCTTCCTCTGAAACGAAGTGGATTTAGCAAGTATAGATTTTTTTTAACCCAAAATGGTAATAAAAATCATCATTTAACCCACTTCTAGTGAAGAAATTCAATATTTTTTTTTACATAAATGATTTTGTCCCCAACTAGAAGCCCATATATTTACAAGTATTACATATTTGTTTTATTTAAATTATTCACCACCTGTACATATGGCAGTGCTAGATAACCCTTATCTTACACAGACTCTATGTAAGTGATATATTTTTGATTTTAAAATTCTCCTGCTTTGCTTTGCTTTCTGTCAAATCCGTTTCCTCACTTCTAACATGAGTCACCTACTTGCTAAAGTTATTTGTCCTACAAGAGAAATAAATCCAGTCGTTCTGTTAATGTCCGAGGAAAACTTTGGAGTAATATTACAGTACAATTATAACATAACAGATGTGAAGAAAGCACATTTCAGAAATGTCTGTCCTCCATCTCCATAATATGACATCAGTTCTGATCACCCATACACACTCAGGAAATATTTCTCTCAAAATTAAACATTAAAACTGAAAATAATTGTTTTGTCAATCAAAAGAATACCAATTAAATCCCAGGAGACAAACATAAATTATATATGGTAATACAAACTTGTAAAGCTGCTTGATTAACGTGTGTATAGATATAAATATTTAATGAGCAAATAAGTTCATAAACAAAATTGAAATTGGCTGCATAATATGATTGAGAATGTGGATGATTGCAAGTGGGACGTGCTTTAAAGTGGTGCCACCATATTGGATGTGGGCTAAAATGCCGTACAGATGTGTTACATTATTCTAAGCATGGTATATTGATACACTGAAGAGGTGATAGGTACTCAAAAAGTCTTCCACGCCACGAAAGCATTTAGCATTTTGTGTGTCGCAGAAAAAATAATCATAAAAGGATGTAGCAATACGATCAGATAAAAAGGGGGCGTGGCTATAAGAATTTGATAGACAGAAAGGGTTGTGTCAGTAAGACTTTGATAAATGAAGTTTGACAGAAAGCATTTTGAAAGTAAGAAGGCTTTGATTGCCATAGGTGGGTGTGGCTAAGAGTTTTGATTGACGTAGGTGGGTGTGGCAAGAACTTTGATTGACATATAAAGGTGTTGCTATGGAAACTTACGTCCTGTGATTGGGTGGATCAGTGTGGGGTGTGTGGCCGCTGGCTGTGGACTCTGCTGCTTAGGCTTGGTGACTTTCGTGTTGCTCTTTGCAAACTCTAACCTCAACAGCTGTGGAAGGTCGGGGTCAAATCGGACACCCTGAATAAAATTTTATCAAATACTTGTTAAATATCAAATAAAAATAATCAAAATTATTAAAAATTGAGAGTTTGTAAGAAACATATAAAGAGGTCAAACTAAGCCAAAATTACTGAGAAATTAAGACAATGGCCTCCAATAATCAAATATGAATATATTGTGGTATTACTGAGTAATTTTTTCAGTGGAATGACAATCTGTATATCATCAAATCGCTGGCCATTGTGTGTTTTGAATTAAAACAAATAGAAGACATCTGGAACAAAATATAGCAAATATTATTTCTATTTTATTATTCAAAGGACATAATTTGAAAAGAAATTCAAGGGAGATAAGTTTATCAAGGGGAGATAACTCACCTGTAAGTCAGCCTTCGCTGCTTCTGCAGCTTTCCTTGTGTTGAATGTAACAAATCCTACAGGCTAAAAAAGTACAGTAAAAAGGTAAATAACGGGTTCACATTTATCTCATTGTCACAAGGAATGTTCTTTAACTCAATCACCCCTGAAATTTCATAATGAACTATTTCAACCTTTGAAATGGAAGAGTTCAAATGTGTCTTCAGAGGTGAATGAGTTAAATAAATTTGATGAATAAGCATGATATTTACTTATGATTAGATTAATCCTAAATAGTCAGTTCATATATTTGTTATATTCCAACGAAATGAATCGTTCCTTAACTTTCAACATGAAGACTTGCAATTTCCTTTACAGGTAAGCAACAAAGATATCTGTCTCCAAACAGTCAACACCATAGGACAACTTAGGAACGTCAAAGATGTACATGTACCTCGACAAATTGACAACAGAATCCAACTAGACAACAAAAAAGAAGGAAGAGCAACACAATCTTCACAACAAACAGAGGAAACTTATTTGATGTAAAAGAAGATGAAACACTCAGAGGAAATAACAGACGTATAAGTAAATCAGATCTGATTCAATTTCCTAGACACCAAAGATTTCACAGACAGAAAAGAAACTTTCTCTGGGGATATAAACTAGAAGTAAAATCAAAATTTACAGTTTCGAAATACATTACAAAACAAATGTAAAATAAAATGATAAATGTTTATTAAAAGATTTAAAATATTTCTTATCCATCACTGAAAAAAAAGAGTTGAGCATAAATTAACACACTCTTAAATATTCTATGTTCCGTTTTTCTTAGCCAACTGTTACGGCCAACGCTACCAAACCATATCTCCACACTGACATTATAACCAAGACCGTCTACCTCCCAAACGTTCCATTCCTGGTTAATACAGATATTTCAGCACATTTCCATACAGATAAATATAGTAACAGGTTATTGTAATATGTATTACACACTTCAAACATAAATAAATGTAGTTTATACAGGATAGATTTTTTTCTAGTGATGTCATGGTCACCAGTGGTGTTTCAGTAAAACACAGAACACTATTATGTTGTGGTCAAATAAATGTGGTTTGAAACACTGAATGATTAACTTCACATTTTGATTCAAGTTATTTCCTAACAAACTTGTTAAAAATATGTTGTGAAATTTCTCTTTTTGCTTTTTTTAAAATTCCTTTTTGAAATGATTAAAATCAAAACCATTGATGTTTTTAAGTACTGAACAATTCAAAAACAGAATATTCTTAAAAATGAAACTTTGTTATGTTAATTTTGAATTCACTTATTTGAAATTAGCACTAACGAACCGGCTAACGAGCGTGAGGGTTGAGCTGGTATTACAACACCACGAGAATTGACACACAAATAAATTATAGAGCAGGAAGTATAGAAGGTAGTTATTCTAAGCACATCTAGATGAATCTACTAGATCATTTAACATCAATAATCCGTCACAATGACAGGAGATGTTGGATGCCGTGTCTCTGTCAACGTGATACTTTTGTTCCTTAAATACACCTGTCAATTACGAAGTAAAGCTGAATAAAGCAACAGACTTCTCCAAGCTACTTCCTCCATTCACATCTAACCAATAACCAAGGGGCCTCCCACGGGATACTGGATAATTAATTTTCTTAATCTAATTCTTTGAAAATTGCCATTAAGCATTACAGGAACCTGATAGATGCCTATGTGGGTCCCTCATAGGAATTTGCAACCTTTCTGCACCCACGTGTAGCCGTCACATCGTAATACAATTAAGCTCTACGAGGATATTTGATTTTTTCATTTGCAATCAAAAATTGTTCGCAATTTCAATAATTGAAGAGTTCATTCTGGTTAAAGTACCAAACCTGAAGGGAAAAAAATGTTCATTATATTACATTTTTTATTTGATTTGAAAAAACTTGCATGATAGTTTGGTATTAATAATAGTCCTTACAAGCCAAGCGATCTACTGATATACATGTTACAAATGAAAACACAAACGATGAAACAGTCGCCTAATTCAACATCAGGAAATGAAAAATGCGTAAATTTACAATCTTGTAATTTTCTGCTCTACCATTTACCATTACTAAAATTCTATTTACTCATTCACCCCTGATGACACATTTGAACTCTTCCAAATCAAAAGTTGGAATAGTTCATTATGAAATTTCAGGGGTGAACGGGTTAATCTGATTTTCACCCTTTCTGCTATCCTGTGATCACTACACCTTTATATCTTTACCATCTCCTCTTATTACTACCGACTCCAAAGACAACCCAGGAGAATCTTTATCACGGTGTATAAGTGTCATGTTGATAAACTTCGCCTTAAACTTACCCCACATCTACAACTATCCCATTGTGGTTTGGGTACACACATCCCCCTCACCGTATCCAAGTATGTTGTACAGAAACAAGGACACTAACACCAAAACCAGACAACAGTGAAAGAAATAAACCAACAGCATTATAATCGGAGGCAACACCTCAGCCACATCTCAGCACATAACAGAATAGATGAGGCATAGTCACATGACCAAAGACAAACGAGGCATGGTCACATGACCAGAGACAAAATGAGGCACGGTCACATGACCAAAGACAAACAGTTATGGTCACATTGACCAAAGACAAATGAGGCACGGTCACATGACAGAGACAAACGATTGGCATGGTCACATGACCAGAGACAAATTAGGCATGGTAACATGACCAGAGACAAAATGAGGTATGGTCACATGACCAGAGTACAAATATGGTATAATCACATGACTTTAAAAGACAAAGCTATGATCAAATTAACAAATAAGACATGATTGCATATGCTTTTTTTCTACTTTTAATCTGATCACAAAAGGAACTGATTTGACATGAATGAAATATGCAGGATACAAAAGATGAATCTAGCTCCATAAATTGTATTCCTAATATAAATAAGAGGATGCTGAATAACTCCAACAACCATTAAACTCTTTAAAACATGATACCAGAAACAGATGTAGCACACTTTAGCACACAGAACTGGACAAATGACATATATAAATGGTTTCATCATACACAGCAACGTACAATGACACACATTTTTTCGGTTAGAAATCAACATTAGTGCTTGGTGATCGGTGAACTGCGTACTTACAGAAGTGTTTTTGCCATTTTTATTGGTGACCTTCAATAAGGAGTTCTCGTACCCCTGAAACAATAACAGTAGTGAGACGTACACACAACGTGCAGTGATGTTTTAGTGGCGCCATCTAGTGGCGACGCCAGATTTACAGTGAATGTTAATTGTTAGTTCCGTCTAATGTACAATGATGCCATTCCCAGGTCTTAGCTTCTATAGGCCGGCAATATCTACATGCAATCAACAGCGTCCGATATCCTCACAAGTCTCAACAACATTCAAACGAGGCAAGAGATTCTTTCTTTGGGGACGGATGAAGGGAGATAACTATTACTTTTTAATAAACTTTTAGACTTTTTATTTACAATCAAACATATTATGCTAGACAGTTTTTTTCATTTGCATTTTGAATAAAATAGTGAAGATTTTCTGATCAGAACAAGAAAGGAATTCATTGAAATGAAATAATTCCTCTTTTTTCTTCTGTGTTTTTACCAATTACATGTTTTTAAAACACAATATGAAAAACTTAATAAAATTGTTCTTTAAAATTACCAAAAAAATAAGACCACCTCGTTGCCAGGCCATGTTGCAGAGACTTGGAATATCCATCGAACTTGGTAGTAACAAAATATATAAAGTAGTGATGTTAGCCAACAAACAATGGTGAGTTGCCATGACGATGCCCTGGTGAGAAACAACCATTCAGCAACCATGGCCTTGTCTCCAAGCAAAGTGGAAAGACACAATATGGCATTCAGATTGCCATGGCAACTGGATCCGCTAGTTTGGTGAAAGTGCTGTCAAAAGTAGAAATTAAGCCATATTTGTTGCTATGGCGATGACACTTACATTACTTACTGCATTATTTTTGCCAGGTTTTCCCATCACCTTTAACAAAGCATTTTCGTAACCCTGGAAACAATAAAGACTGCCACCAATCAGAATTAAGTACATATATACACCGCACACCACCGCTTTGCATGTGCATTTAAGTTCTGCTCTAATACATTAATCAATTAATGAATTAATACGACATACACTATAAAGCAACAGTGTGGTAAAAAAGGATAAATTAATTACTCAACCATGAAATAAAGCTTTCTCCAACTTCTTGATTCAGCTTTTTATTTCCCATTATTAGATAAACTAACAAAATATGTAATTTGGCTTTTCCTAGCTTTGATATAGATAAAGAGTTTGATGAAAAAACATAAGACCATTTTTCTTTTCATCAAAAGTGGAGAATGCAACATTTTGTGTAAAGAGAAATATTAATGAAGACACTAGATTAGGGAAAACATTGTTTTTGTTTCCTGTGCAACAATCAAAGCAACTTTAATATATATAACTTTTACTAATTCCATGAAAGCATTCGGATATAAGGTTCTTATTTTTATGTGCAGGTGCTTTTTGTGTTCTGCCACCTCAAAGTTATCGAGATTCAAGGGGAGTTACTCCCCTTACATAGTAAAGTGCATTTTGAACCTGTAATGTCTGACAATGTAAAAAGTTTAAATTTCTAGATGAAAACAACCAAATAAATATCTACAGATGTAATTCATAAATACATAACAAGCATGCAATCTTTATCACAGTACTGCTTGAACATTTCTATACATATCAAGAACAGCCAGGCCCCCGAGTTTTTCGATTGAACCTTATAATTATGATCAAGTTTGATACATCTGACAATGTTTTTGATCTTGTTTGATAACCTAATGATCTTTAAGTAGATTTTGTAGTTTTAGCAAAAGGAAGTCTTCTGTGGACAGTGGGACAAACTTAATGTCCTATTAATCTATATGGAAATATTATGAATACATCTTTATTAATTCTTTGTTATATAGAAACTTTTGATGTGAAACATGGAAAACTTAGCACCTGAAGTATATACTACTTTTTTATGACAGAAAACCTGATGTTTACTGAAGTTATTCTGTACAATAGATACCTTTCTGTAACTAGGTGTTATGAAACTGGGGACAAGTTTAAAGCTTGATACAGTCTGATGACCAATTAACACAAATCTTCCATTTTGTATACTTACAAAACAAAACAAAATTGGAATTCAAAATGACACCGGATTGTATAGAGATCAGATTATCATCCTGACCCATAGACCCAAAAAATAATTTGTTAATTTTCAAATATTTTTCCAGGATGACATTTTTGAAAATTTGTGTCAAAAGTCTTGTTAGGATAATCAGGTTTTAACAACAGGTAGGACAACTAAAATCAATTCAAGCAAGGGGAGGTAAGCATGTCAGGGATTTACAATCTATTTTCATTACCATACATAAGCATAGATCTAATAAACAAAGGGAAGTAACTATTGGAGTTATTTTCACATGTGCAATGGTTTAAAATCAATAAAATAAATCAAATTTGGTAAATTTCTTCAAAACATGCAATAAGGTGTTAAGACTTGATAATAAGATAATCATTGGAGTATTTTGAGTTCGCTCTATTACATATCTGTAGCAAACATTCCATTCCTTAATGTTGTTGCATAGTTTCGGATTATTTTGTTTACATATTTGATTTCCAAAGCAATACTTATAGAAATAACATAAAAAAAACTTAAAATTGAATTTGACAACATAAAGAATGACATAATAATATATGTAAAAGAGGTTTAAAGCATTGCGTTGCTATACAGACGTCTTATACCAAAAAAAAAATCCAATATCTCGTAGAATAAATTGACAGTAACCTTGGAGTAAAAAACCCTATCCATTCCATAGCACATCTTCAATGTAGAGTCCCAATAAACTGAGTGAATTATGCATCAAAGTATTGATTTTGTTGCGAAGATGCAGCCTTGAATTCTCCCACATACACTTAGAAGTAAGTGGGTAGGGTTTACTATATCACATTTAAACAGGAATGGATTAACTTGGGTGATGAGAAAAATTTTGCCTCATTTGAAAAACTCAATTTACAGCTAAAACAAAAGACATAATGTTTTTTATTTGTAAGTGATTTCAATAGTAAAGAGAAATGTGGAGTTTGTTTTTATTTTAATTCACTTTTATTCTCATTTATGTAAAATTCTGTATATTTTCAAACCTGCAGAAAGTTTAGGTTTCCTTCTGAAGAATCTTAACATCTCTGAAAATCTCTTAATTGAAAAAGGACTGGTAACTACAAATTTTATACATTGATTTTAAATACAAATATTTTTCTAGTTCCTTTAAAATCATTTCTTGCTTACTTTGAGTTCTTTGCCCAACTCAAATCAAGTTCCATCTATAACTTACAGTTAATCATAAATCAGGTATTTTAACCCATCCCCCCCCCCCCCCCCTTACCATATCAAATAACTGGACAAGTCTTTTTTAAACAAGTAGGAGTAAATGAGTTAAGTTATTGGCAGAAATGACCACCAGTCTGGTATAAAAAATTGGGGAGATATTACGGATGCTTCTAATGATGAAACCTTTAGTATGGACTAATCAGTGTAGATTCTGATGACTTAAATCGAAGAAAGTTCAGGTATAACTAGACTTTCACAGAAATTTCCAGGGATTTAACCCTTTCACCCCTATGTAACTTCAGTAAACTCTTCAATACTTTGATAGCTGGAGGAGTCCATTATAGTCTACAGTGGTGAAATGGTTAAGGCAAAATGTCAATTGCTAAAACACTGCCGTCTTCATTCCAGAAAGAAGCTAACCAATGCTGAGCTTCCTAGGTTCTATATAGCTGCTATACATTTCTAGGATCTGTAACGTGGATGCGGCAAGTCAGACTTTGGACCCAAATTAGGTAAATGAATGATTGACTGGGGACTCTACTCCAACTAATTAGAGAAGACATATCTTACTGTCTATTTTAGGAAAAAATAGATGATTTCTTGCTACAGTGGTGACCTTTGCCTCCCATTTCATACATTGGGGTGATCCAAAGGAATCAACGGTTCAGTCCATCATGGTCATGTAGGGGCACACAACTATTTATCCATCCTTTCTTTATGCAATGTCTACATTTTCTTTATGTGAAAAAAATCTATTATGTTCAGGACATAAACTAGTCCAGGGAAAGAGAATGGAAAAAACAACAAAAAAAATCTTATCGCCTACCAACTGGAGATAACCATAGATTTTTCAATTCCTTTCTGTTTTATCTTATTCCAAGTTAGCGAGACTGAGCCAAACGTTAATCAGCATCTTATCAATGCTTTCAGTACAGCATGAAGCCAAGCATAATCGTGAGGCAGATCTATCATGGCCATCAGTTCCAAAGGTTGATAGTTTGCACTCCCAGGATTTTTTCTATTAACAAATTTCTTCAAAACAGTGTTAAGTGTGAATTTTTATGTGAACAAAAAAAAAAAAGACGAACGCTGCTATTTTATTTACTTCAAAAAGACAAGCTATCAAGGAAAACAAATGATGATAGTAAAAGTTAGAAAGTTCAACCAAATCTTCTCTCCTGATCCCAACCTCCCAAACATAGAAAAAAATACATAATACAATAACTTGTTTGTTTGTGGTTTAACGCCTTTAAAACATGTCACAGTGTGATGATGATGTGAACACTCAAAGGCCATTTTAATTTTAAATGCATTATTTCACGAAAATCATCCAATGACCAATAAAAATGGTCTAATATCAGATGCTTAAAGAATATATATACTCTGGTAATGGGATATAACTGAAAGCCAAAAAAAAACTTTATAGAAATAATCGAGATTCTTTTCTCCAGTTATTACTTCAAACTAACATTCATCAGGATCCACCTTAATGCAGTTAATACAAAATTAATATTCAGGATGATCCTAGTTAATATCTATATAATTATGATGAATAAGAAAAGGCAAAAATGGCCAGTATGATACATTTACTTAGCAGCCACAGGGGACACCCACAGCGTATTCAGGTCTTGATAATGTTGATAAAATTCAGCAAATTTTTTGAGAGAAAACAACTTTCTCATGTAACGGGCACACAGGGAAGGTCTCAGGGATATGCTTCAAAGAAATCTACAAAATTATCTAAATTGGACATAAATTAGTGGATACCGTAGTTGTTCCTATGGTAACTCTCTGCAGTAGATACTGTATCTATTCTCAGTTACCTCCCCTTGAACATGTACACTTGTACTGTATCTACACTTGTACTGTACGTATCTTAATGAAACACCCTAACAAAAAGTATATGAAAAGACTCAGATAAAGTTTGGAAAGTGTAGACTTGTCTAAATAAAATATAAATACATAGGTACAAACTAAATTATCTACTCGAACCAACCCTTAATTTAACTTAATTTAAAAAAAGTATAAAAATTCAGCCCAGGTTGTAAAATCTCACAAATGTACACTCATACCTGCCATTGAGTACATTTTTATATTTAAAGAAAAACTGAACACGATATGATGGTAGATAGAATTCCTATGCCGTGATTTTTGGTTTCTCTGACGTAAGCGGCCTTCAGTGTACTAGAACACACAAACACTGTAGCACATGTCGGACTCCTCTACATCTGTTGTCTTATCAGTCAAATTAATCACTTAACAGATCTGCTGATTCCTGCACCAATGTTGCACGAGCAAGCCAGACTTGGAGACAAGTGTAATTAGACCTCACTGATCCCTCCCCCAGAATGTAACCCACCCCCNGATACTCATTTACTTGATTGACAGAATGCCGTAGCATTACACATAGGGTCTGGTCTGAATGTGTGAATGTTTTTACGATGATAGTCCTTAACAGCAACAGGTTCATTATCAAAGTTCCTTTTCTATCAATTTCCAACCACAAGAACATAATTTGCATATGAAATATTGTTGATTGGTTGAAAATTTGAGATCCCTCCTAGCACCTTTAGACAAAATATGGCTGAAAATGATTCCAAAATGATTCCAAAAAGATTTTTTATTTTAAACTTATATAAATGTTAATTGATATAACCATTTTCTTTATGCTGAAATAATGGACTGTTCAACCAATCACAAATTAAGTCTTTAAAATAATTACTTTTAATATCATTTACATCTCAAATCTGAAGCATATTTTATTATTTCAAACAATAATTCTCATATCCAATATGAAATATATATCATATTAAATGAGCAACTTGATTGTTTGGTAAGATTTTATGACCATTTTCCTGCCGATAGAGAGAAGAGGTAAGAAATGGAGAGACGAATATTACCTCGTAGGTCCTAAATAACAGGTATAATTCACGGGGTTTTGCGTCCATGGGAAGACCACTGACAAATAAGGTCCGCACCTGAAAAATCAGAAGAAAAGAAAATATGACATATAATTCAACACTTTTGATAAACATTCACCCCTGAAATTCCAAATGAGCTATTCCAACCTTTGAATCGGAGGATTACAAATGTGTCTTCAGGGGTGAATGAGTTAATCAGATTTTGAACAATATAATTAACTCTTTATCTTTTGGAAAATATTTCCATTTTAGATGATTTTAATTTGATTGATTTTTTTCCAGATTTTGATTTGGAAACTAAGATGATTTATAATAAAACTGATAAATTAACGTAAAAGTATTAGAAAACAATTATAATGAGAACTGGTAACGGTAATACTTTAGATTTAATAACGATAATATCAACATTGTGCATCATGGTACCATACAACAGACAGACAAGCCTAAGACACCAATGCTGGATCTCGTCTTAGAATTCTAAATATTAAACTGTTTTAGGAATTTAACAAGTCAGATCTGTAAAGTGCAGATTATAAGTAAGCCCTTCACAAACTACATTTATAAAGCAGGGTTATACTGGTGTTTACTATTATTTCAGATTTTTTGGATAATTTTGTCCACAGTCATTCAATCAACTACCTGTATTACCATTTCTTCAAATTAACGTTTTATATCAAAGCTTTAGAGGAGATGAAGAAAACAATAGGATATCTTACACTAGAATTCTTCAGTCCTAGATTTTCACTAACAACCATTCAGCATTTCTATTAATGTGGCATAAATCAAACTCAACAAGAAGCTTTCTTCCAAGATTCAGAAAGACACAGAGTAAAACAGTGACACGAACCAACGTATTAAATCTTGCTAAAACATATACAGCATTATAACTCTATCATCAAAGTCTGGTAGTGTTGTCTGGGCATTTATTACAAACATTTCGGCCCCTGTATTAGTCAATGTCACAGAGAAGCTTTACTTAAAGACACACACGACTAACAAGCAATACATTTGGTAACGAAATGTAACACGAAACAACAATGTCGGCATAAAATTGTCGTTTGTTCGTCGGATCTCCATGGTGATCCTTTTATTCTCAATGATGTTGTAACCACATGTTTTCGTTAATTGAGCGATGAAGCTTTCAACATGATACCGACATAACTCTTGTTAATTATACCTATAAAAACACTACTGTGCTTTCTCTCAAGTTACGGTGAATACTCTCCAGCTTATTCTCTGCTTACCATTGTACTATAAAAATATCAAATCCACCTAACTTTATTACATATGACCATCTGGTGCATTTAGATGGGGCCCAAAGAACCACACCCACCACACTTTTTAAATGTGACCATGTATGCTATAGATTTGGACCAAAGAATCACATCCTGAAGACTTTTTAAATGTGCATGACCATGTGGATTTAGAGGGGCGAAAAGAGCAAATTCCTCCTCAAATCCTGGATTTTTTTAAATTTTTGGTCTCGCAGGTATTTTCTGGATATCTTACTATATATCTGTCCCTTCTAATTGACAGATTCTAATTACCCGCTAGTACTAGACTGTGTTGAGTATGTGGTACTCTTCTACTTATGTTTGTAACAATGTAATGATAATTACTTATAATTATCACTCTAACCTTCCATCCTCTTGTGTCGATTTATATTCTATATCGCAGAACAAAGTCTTAAAATATCCAGAAAGTCATCTGACGATACAGACGGCGCAATTAACTGTCCAGAACTAGGTCACAAAGACACTGAAGAAAAATCTGAGATAAGTCGCGTTACGAACAAGTCTTCAATTTGCCTTCGTAATATTGCGAACCTTTACTGTAATTCTGTTGCTTCACATTGCAGCACAATGTTGATGGCAGCGGAGTGACACCTCCGGATGATTGCTACACGAGTGGATCACAATACTAACACTAACCGCCATAGCCTTCCCATTGGACCAATAGAATGCTGCTCTAAATCCCCCATTGTTCGATTACCTCCAAATTTGATTTAGAACGGAAAACCACAACTAGACAATTCCCAGCGTTTGTTCCAGTACGTAAAATGGTTCGCGGTGTGGAAAGACAAAAGAAGTTATTCAATTATCTCAAGTCTAGCTAATTTGTAAGAGATCATCTCACTGTTATTGAGTTCTGTTGTAGTAAGGTTTATAAAGGGACTAGGGGAAACAGGAACCACAGACACTAAAGGGTACAGCCCACTTATACAGAGTATACACCAGATTTGCATAGGGACTAGGGGAAACAGGAACCACAGACACTAAAGGGTACAGCCCACTTATACAGAGTATACATCAGATTTGTATAGGGACTAGGGGAAACAGGAAACCATAGACACTAAAGGGTACAGTCCACTTATACAGAGTATACACCAGATTTGTATAGGGACTAGGGGAAACAGGAACCACAGACACTAAAGGGTACAGCCCACTTATACAGAGTATACATCAGATTTGTATAGGGACTAGGGGAAACAGGAAACCATAGACACTGAAGGGTACAGCCCACTTATGTAGGGAGCTGTGTTAGGGGAAACAGGAACCACAGACACTAAAGGGTACAGCCCACTTATACAGAGTATCCACCAGATTTGTATAGGGACTAGGGGAAACAGGAACCACAGACACTAAAGGGTACAGCCCACTTATACAGAGTATCCACCAGATTTGTATAGGGACTAGGGGAAACAGGAAACCATAGACACTGAAGGGTACAGCCCACTTATGTAGGGAGCTGTGTTAGGGGAAACAGGAACCACAGACACTAAAGGGTACAGCCCACTTATACAGAGTATCCACCAGATTTGTATAGGGACTAGGGGAAACAGGAACCACAGACACTAAAGGGTACAGCCCACTTATACAGAGTATCCACCAGATTTGTATAGGGACTAGGGGAAACAGGAACCACAGACACTAAAGGGTACAGCCCACTTATACAGAGTATCCACCAGATTTGTATAGGGACTAGGGGAAACAGGAAACCATAGACACTAAAGGGTACAGTCCACTTATACAGAGTATACACCAGATTTGCATAGGGACTGGGGGAAACAGGAAACCATAGAAACTGAAGGATACAGCAGACTATATAGGGATCTGTTTTAGGGGAAACAGGAAACCATAGAAACTGAAGGATACAGCAGACTATATAGGGATCTGTTTTAGGGGAAACAGGAAACCATAGAAACTGAAGGATACAGCAGACTATATAGGGAGCTGTGTTAGGGGAAACAGGAACCACAGACACTAAAGGGTACAGCCCACTTATACAGAGTATACACCAGATTTGCATAGGGACTAGGGGAAACAGGAAACCATAGAAACTGAAGGATACAGCAGACTATATAGGGAGCTGTGTTAGGGGAAACAGGAAACCATAGAAACTGAAGGATACAGCAGACGTATACAGAGTATACACCAGATTTATATAGGTACTCATGGATACAGTAGTCTTATATAGGAAGATACAGCAGGCTTATACAAGAGACCCAGCAAACTGGGGATACAGGATATTTCTGACAAACAGTGAAGAATACAGTAGACTTGAAATATATACCAGGTCTATATCGGAAGATACAGGAAAATTTATATAGAAGCATACAGGAGATTCATGAAGAGGGGGATACAGGATATTTATATAGAGGGATACAAGAGATTTATAGAAAGGGATAAAGGAGATTTATAGAGAGGGATACAGGAGATTTATAGAGATGGATACAGGAGATTTATAGAGAGGGATAAAGGAGATTTATAGAGAGGGATACGGGAGATTTATAGAGAGGGATAAAGGAGACTTATAGAGAGGGATAAAGGAGATTTATAGAGAGGGATACGGGAGATTTATAGAGAGGGATAAAGGAGACTTATAGAGAGGGATACGGGAGATTTATAGAGAGGGATAAAGGAGACTTATAGAGAGGGATACAGGAGATTTATAGAGAGGGATAAAGGAGACTTATAGAGAGGGATAAAGGAGATTTATAGAGAGGGATACGGGAGATTTATAGAGAGGGATAAAGGAGATTTATAGAGAGGGATACGGGAGATTTATAGAGAGGGATAAAGGAGACTTATAGAGAGGGATACGGGAGATTTATAGAGAGGGATAAAGGAGACTTATAGAGAGGGATACAGGAGATTTATAGAGAGGGATAAAGGAGACTTATAGAGAGGGATAAAGGAGATTTATAGAGAGGGATACGGGAGATTTATAGAGAGGGATAAAGGAGATTTATAGAGAGGGATACGGGAGATTTATAGAGAGGGATAAAGGAGACTTATAGAGAGGGATACGGGAGATTTATAGAGAGGGATAAAGGAGACTTATAGAGAGGGATACAGGAGATTTATAGAGAGGGATAAAGGAGACTTATAGAGAGGGATAAAGGAGATTTATAGAGAGGGATACGGGAGATTTATAGAGAGGGATAAAGGAGATTTATAGAGAGGGATACAGGAGATTTATAGAGAGGGATACGGGAGATTTATAGAGAGGGATAAAGGAGACTTATAGAGAGGGATACGGGAGATTTATAGAGAGGGATAAAGGAGACTTATAGAGAGGGATACAGGAGATTTATAGAGAGGGATAAAGGAGACTTATAGAGAGGGATAAAGGAGATTTATAGAGAGGGATACGGGAGATTTATAGAGAGGGATAAAGGAGATTTATAGAGAGGGATACGGGAGATTTATAGAGAGGGATAAAGGAGACTTATAGAGAGGGATACGGGAGATTTATAGAGAGGGATAAAGGAGACTTATAGAGAGGGATACAGGAGATTTATAGAGAGGGATAAAGGAGACTTATAGAGAGGGATAAAGGAGATTTATAGAGAGGGATACGGGAGATTTATAGAGAGGGATAAAGGAGATTTATAGAGAGGGATACGGGAGATTTATAGAGAGGGATAAAGGAGACTTATAGAGAGGGATACGGGAGATTTATAGAGAGGGATAAAGGAGACTTATAGAGAGGGATACAGGAGATTTATAGAGAGGGATAAAGGAGACTTATAGAGAGGGATAAAGGAGATTTAT